TAGGGAAAATAAGAGGAGAAAAAGAGGAAAGCAGAATCAAAAATAACTCTTTAACAGTCTAAGCTGAACAGTCTACCAAAAGGTCGCATCTTTAGAGTTTTACAAATACCAGATTTTAAAGGGATAGTGCAAACAAAGCTGGGTTATGGAAATAACCCGACAACTTTCATTAAAACTCAATTTGCAAGTGCCTACCACTTATCCCAGATTCCTGCCCCCAGACAGCTGGAGGATAATGGATCAGTAACAGCGATGAGGAAATTGGGAGCGCCTTTGGGAATGCAGTAGTGATACAGCATAACAAGGAGACTTCTCACTGTCTGCCTGGCCCTTTCCCCCAGTATGCCCTAGGCATACCCAGTTGGTCACTGCTGGGAACACTGGGTCAGGGGTCTGGCACGATACTGCTGTTCTGATGGTCTATTAAAAAGGAAAGCTGGGGCAAACACAGCACGCCCCCGGCCAAGGCTGAAACAGGTGAGGAGACATACCAGCTCGTTGCAACACCCACACCTTCATCTGCCACCTCCACACCACAAACAAGGAAGCAAAACTGGTAAATACTGCACCAGTCAAGCAGGGTCTGCAGCACTGGCCACAGCGGCGTGCTGGCTGCAAGCAGCAAGAGCAGTAGTCTTCCAAGGGAGGGTCCATGTGTGTGAGGCAATACTTAAAAGTGCAACTGAAGCATCAGCGGACTCTGTCAAGCTACATACTGTATTTGAGTTTTGCAAGGGAGTGTAAAGGATCATTTACTCCTCCCTGTGCAGCAACAGAAATTATTCTTCCCAAACCCCTTTTTAATAGATATCCAGTTTTTCCAACTATTTTTTCAAAGCTGATAATCCTACAGCCTTAAATTTGCATTGCCTAACTGGCAACGGTTGCTAAATATGGCTGTGAAGGGAGGGGAGGACTGGAGGTGGAGAGAGGAAACTGTGGCTAAGTTTCCCCATCGTAGTTTCAAGCTTTTGCTTCATTCTCACCCAAAATGGACGCAGCTTACCCTAAATGAACATGCCACCTCCAAGCATGCGCCAATGTGGAGCACAGCAAGGTGAAGTGTGGCCAACACTGCAATCCTTGGGATTTGCCTCGATTTAATTTTCCTTGACATGGTATTCCTACTGCCGTACTCCATGCGTTCAGGGAAATAACGATCTTGCTCTCATTAGCCAAGGGAGTGACACCGTGTGGCTTTTGGCCGGATGCACACTGTGTGCTTCACATTGCTTGTCTGCAAAACTGCTCATCTAAAAACCGATGGGTTAGCACTCCATGAGCTTCCTGAGGATGTGAGACCTGCTGCTCCTCCCCACTTCATCAGCGATGAACTAAATTGGGGTGAGCTACCGGCAGGCTTTGCCACCTTCCTCTCGACCAGGCAGATGTCAAAGTACACAACCTTAGTCACACCACGAGTGGCCTGAAATAAAACGGTGGGTAAAAAAAAAAAACAACCAACCACAAGAACTAGCCCAAAACAGAGCTCACATATCACACAAGCGACAGAGAACAGTGGCAGATTTGCTACTCTGAAGGGAGTAAAGTCAATGCTGTGATGTGCTCAACCTTCAGCAGATAGACCACCACATTCTCCTTACCCTGAGTCTTTCCAAGAGAAAAGCAAACCAGAGACAACCCCCCAAAAAAACCCCAACAACTTCTGACCTACAACAGTTACACTGCCTTTTATCATCCAGTGTATAAGATCTTTCTCCCGAAGCTTTTATAGTTTTTTCTTTTGTTTTTTAAGAGGTATGCATTGCCTTCCCTCGCTCTCGCAATGGATTAGCTGCCATCTGTTACGTGATCGAGAAAAGAAATGGCAATCCGCACCAGAAGTAACTGCTCAGCTGTATCAGGGTTCCAGCTTAATAGGACCATCTGCCAATTTATTATAAAATTTGAGATGCCTGGTGCACTGTTCTGTCTTTTCTATAGGGCATTCACTGTATCTGTATATATATTGTTTGCTTTTATCATGAAGATATTTAACTTAAGAGGTAATTATCCTGTAGTATCTAATTATGCTGTAAGTGAAAAAAGCACTTCTTTTTGTTTTCAAAAGAAAAAACTACTTGGACTTACAGTCCTTTCCTACATCCACATCTTACATGAACAGGACTGTCTATTAACAGCAGTGTGGAGTATTTTCTGTTTTAATATTTTTCATATCACTACATCTGTGTGTGGATCTGTTTGAGTGTTCTGTGACACCAGCTACCACTTATGTACACCTTTTGTGTTGGTTTATGTGAAGGGGGGGAGGAATAGAGGTGAATCCACAACCCCAGACCCCAGCACCTTATGTAAGCCCTGTCAAGACCAAGATCAAGTTGAGATGCAGACTTTCTTCTCAGTTCAGCTGTGCAGAAAATTGCCTTCTGTTTTATTCCTGTGCAGGAACCAAGAACACAAACTGCATCCTCTGCACTGAATGAAGCAAATGTGTCATGGAGAAACATCTAATCTGCATGAAATGTGAACCTAAAGCAGATTCACTGGATCAAATAACCAGGTAACCCTTTTCTCGGCTTGATTTTACAACCTTCAAATATTTCACATTTTTAATTCTTAGGGGTTTCTTTTAACCTCACCCCCTCCACAACAACTCTTTTTGCAAGATGCAGCAAGATTTCTGGTGGTGCTTTGCTAGGCTGATAAAACACACACACACACACAAAAGTTCCTTATTGTGCTTGACGCGTGATAAAAATCTGACTTCTAAGTATATCCAAAAGAGGAAGCTTATGACCAAGCTTGCAGTTTTAAGCCTAAGGATGACAAAACAATATTACTAGGGCTTATACAGGACATCTAAACTTGCCTGTTCGGCAAAGATCATCAACAGATTGACGATTAGTTAAGATCCAGCGTGAGCTACATTTAAAACCTCTGTACATTCATGTACTATAAGCACCCTGATATAGTTTGCTACCAAAATACTATCACATAAAACAGAGGAAGGAAACCATGTATCATAATTAGCAATCATTTCTCTCTCTCTCTCACACAGACACGTGTGCACATGTACACACAATATGGATCGCTTAATACTGTATGTGTACACAGCTAAGAAACCAGAAGATAACAACCATACTGTATTTTGGTGGAATATTTATCAGAAAATGCATGCTTTAAATAACAAACCAATATAGTCCATCATTCAGACTAGAATCTCTCTCAGCTTGGAAATAGGACATTTACTACTTAAAAACTCTTTTTAAAAAAAATTAATATAAATTTTAATTGGAAGCAGGTACAAGCAATCAATGAGTTATACCTTAGTATAGTTGCACAAAGATATTAATGAAGACATATTTGCTTTGAAATTCCTCAACAAAACCCACCAGCTATAAAGGTTTTCAAGTCACAGAAGAACAGCAACTCATTTTAATATTCTTTTTCATCTTAAACTTGGAAACATTGCATTGTGGACAGAAAACCTGATATAAGTTACATAGAATGAGAGAACAATTAAGGTCTGTGCTGACCTTCCATCTCCTTTATTGTACGAACACTTATAAAACTCATTCTTTAAATAAGCGTAGTTCTACTCCATTGCTCATATGAATGACCACAGTTAAAATTCAGACTTTTTTTTTAAGCTTGAGGAAATGTTTTAGTTTAACTTGGCAAAAAAATGTATTTCCAGTCATATTCTGCACAGCATTACAAACAGTTCTTTCCATTACTTTTAACAATGCTCATTTATTACATAGAATATCAAATTACAGTGAATACACCTTACAATGACCAGCTGTTGTCCAGCTCCCACAGAAGCGATGAAGATGGTTTCACTGCCAGAATAAACAGCACACGCACATTTTAGCATCATTACCGGAAACTTCTCAGGACTGAAAGGTGTTGACACCTATTTCATCCATCAGCTCCTGCAGCTGAATCACTGTCAGCATTGGCTCGAGATGGATACAACTTATATTAATATAAGCCAATTACTTAGTCCAGACAGACCTTGAAGTGCAGGACCTACTGCTGTAGCTTGAGTCACTGTACTGTCAATGACACACATCATTATATTATATAGACTTTATATTCTGAGCTAAGTGTGTGTACATGGAGATCCTGCCTTAGTTGTTTCCCACCTTGTCTCTTCAGCAGTCCTCAATAAGCATAGTTTTGCAATATATTATCACAGTTATATATCTTGATATATTATCAAAGTTATGTAGGACCTAATTCCAGTTTTTATTGGCAATCACAAATGATTTACTATTTCAACATAGAAATCTTCTTCTAACAAAAAGCAGAAAAGTTTTCTAATGATGTATAAAATCATAGCTGCTCTATGCCAGTGAGTAATTTCATTTACATTACTATGACTATTCACTTAAATGACTAAGTAAAAAAAGCCTATTTTCGAAACTAGAGTCTGTATGAGAGCACCATTAGATAGTAAAAATTTCTTCACATTATGTATTTTGAGATTTGTTAAAACGTGCTTTTTTTCCCCCCTAGGAAGCACAGCTTATGGACAGCACATTGTACTACAAGCACACAAATCCCATCCTCAGCAACTGGCTACACCTTTCTTCCCCTAGGCTGGGCAAGTGCTTTTAAACAACAAGAAACAGTTTTGGTCATACTGACTTCTCCTTGTATTCACATTCAACACATACCCACTATGTCTTCAAATATAATTCAGCCAATAAAAATATGACTTCAAATACTATTTCTTTAATGAAACAATATTTGATAATCTGAAGAGTTTTGTATTGGCTTAATTAGATCCATTAGATACGTGCCTTGGTACAAAGAACAGGAAAACAGACTTAAATTCATTATCTCTTCTGAGAAATAAAGCCTGACAAGCATGCAATACTAGTGAGAAACAACAATTGGTAAAACCCACTGGGAAAAAAGAACACACTTCATTTCCAGAAATAAAACATTATTTGTCAACCATTATGGAAGAGCTCCAAGAGCTAGCCATGCCAGCATGTGTAGGCATTTTCTCCAGCTGACCCTCAAAATTGCAGGCTGCTGCCAGCCTGAAGCACAAAGAAATCACAAGGTCAGAGAAACAAATAATTCAGTGCCGTGTACCATACTAATGAACTTGCCTCTTCAGGTTTTTGGTAGGCGGGGGTGAGAAGCTATTCCTGTATCACAGCCCTTGTAATTTGGATGCTTTTAGAAATATAACCTTGAAAACCATTTCTCAGACCCTTGGAGCACATGCACGGAGAGGAGGGACCAGCTGCAGACAGGAGGAACGTGCCAAGGGACCCCGCTCAGCCAAAACACTTTGATCACACAAAGCCAATTGCTGTTAACATCAGGATACTATGCATTTCTTTCACTTATCGTCTTTAGAAGAAAACCTTTACTGGATTGGGGGCAAATAGGGGGTGCCTGCTGCATGCGGCTTTGGGGTGTGTAGCTTCTTTCTCCTTACCTAAAAAGAAAGGCAACCCTGGGAGAGCAGAGGGGGAACAGAAGCAGCTCTCATCACACGCGGGTCCTAGTGACATTAAGCTATTTGTCAAAGTTAGTTCAGCATGTTCTTCTGCAAATAGTAGCTTCAGACAGGAGGAATATGAGAACATCTCTGCAACCCTGTGGTTTCTGGGTCCTCCTTTGTAAGTATGTACTAACCAGACTTTCTCCCAAGGGCTGCTGAGATATCCAGTCCTGTAATAAATGAGCTGTTCCCATAGATGCTCCTGGATATTAGTCCAGTAGACTTTCCCACGTTTCTGGAGACAGTGGAGGTTTTCAACTAGTTGGTAGGTTGTGCCTCACAAACACTGTTTATTAGAGTCCAAGAGCTCTCCTGAGAATTGGAATTAAGATAAAGTTAGATGCAACAGCCTGCTTGTCTGCACTTGAAAATGGTGATCCACCTTTTGGAAAAACCCCCAAAGCTAAAGGCCTCTACCCCCCCCCGCCCTCCTCCCCCGGCCCCGATTTGTAAGTCAGAAATCACAAGTGACCTTAACAATAGATATAGTATTTCTACATCAAAGTAGAAAGATTTTAACTAATCTTTAAGTCTTCATCTAATCCATGGGAGATCACACGAATTTCTTTTATTCAAGTTCCATATGTCCCAATATTATTTTAGTTTGCTTCTTATTGAGCTGTAATACAGTTAAAAGTGAAATGAAAATGTTTGCTAAGAGAAAAGAGCTAACTGTGAATCATTAAGAGGATAATAATATATATAGTTTAAAAGCCTGTAGTTTAATATTTTTCTAGTGTGTAATAGATCTTCTGCAACACCTATTTCTTATTCCAACCTGTAGAGCCTTTTGATTCATTGCAGAGGAGACACTAACCAGGTCAATGGACATTCAGTAGACTTGTAAATATTTTTAAGTTTGAGTTATTCTGACTTTCATCAAGTTTTCTTCTTGGACAGAAGGACTCGCAACACACAGCAACAAAAAAAAAATTACTTAACTGCTATTCCAGATGGGAAAAATGTGTGTGCATGATAAGTTTTGGCCAAAACTACATCCTTCCTGCATTTCTAATCTTATTAAGCTTGATTCGACCCAGACTTGTCAAGTGTGTACGTGGAAGAGAAAAACTCTTCTCAATGGGTCGCTTCCATGCTTCTTGACCGACTCCTCTGTTTTCTCCCCCAAGACTCCCAGGTTCCCACCAAGCAGAAACCCCCCCAAACCCTTATCTAATTTTTTTTGCATACAAGCTCACCAAACCCAATGTTCTCTGCTAAAATTACTTTTTCATTTGAACATGAAGTTCAATAACAGGGGAGTAGATATACAGCTATTTTTGGCCTAGCTTACAACTGAACGCAAAAGAGATCTCAGCATTAGTTTTTAAAAGCATCTGAAGTGACCACATTTTTTCCCCAGCCTGCCTCTGCCATTAGTCTGTGTGTTTGCTAGAGATGACCAGTTTGAACTCATAATTCCATAAAACACTTCCTAAATTTATTTGCAGGAGGTGTAATTTTTCTGCGGTATGAAGACTCATTTGATGACAAAGGAGGAAAAAAGGTTGATTAAAATAGACAGCCACCAGATGAACTGCAACCTGAGCCACGCTCCTGTGGTCAGATCGTACTTCCTGCAAACCTGCTGTGCTGAGCTCAAAAAAGTGGCTCTCCCACTTCAGCCCCATCCTAAAAAACACCTTTAGCTGAAGGAAAATTGAAAATCATCAGGATTACTCTGTCTGGACCTACTTACAGACTCTATCTAGGCTTTATACCACTTACAGAACAAGAATAAATAAAAAACCAGAACAAGCCCACCCACTAGTAACGTTAGTCATAGCTACATCTCCAAATGATGCCTGCATACTCAGATTACAAATAGATACTAAAAGCTTGGATTTTAAGCAATAAACATAAAAAAAGAAGCACCACCCCCTTCCTGAATAATAGTTTCCAAACTACTTAAATTATTTAAAATAGAAAGAGGAAGAGATGTACAAGAAAAAAGGCAATGGAAAACGCTTCTCAGAGAGAACAGATAGGCATTGGACAGGCTAGAGGGAGATAAAACAGGGAACCAAAAAAGTAAGGAAATGTTCTATTAATAGCAGATATACTTGCAACTACAAGGGTCAAATAGGAGGATTAAAAATTTACATATATTAAAATTAAAAATATGAATTGTCCATCCTGGCCTGTAGTCAACTGAATTACAGCAAAAAAAATCCCAAGCTTTGCTATCAGTTTTCTCCCCACTTCAGTCAAATTCTTTGCTACGGTTTAGAAAGCATTTTGCCACTTGGGGTGGAGGCAAATAAATGTCACATTTCCAGTAGTTCTTAACATGCAGTCGTGTTACAGACAAGTTTGAGAGGTTCAACCTTTTTCAAAATGAATGTGCATACACACATGCTCCCTGAACTATGCTTCAGTAGAAGCAAGTTGTTTTCTGGAGAATGTCTAAATCTTCCCAGGTTATGTTTTTCAGTCTAAAATGGTTTCTTCTTCAGTCCTCCTGAAGGAGCTGGATTCAGAAATAAGAACCCTTGACAGATGGAAGCCATTTAATACACTATTGCTAAAGATGGAGAGGAAAATAAAAGGCAGAGAGAAATCCAGATAGGGCAGAATAAATACCAGATGGTAAATACAAAAAATTTCAAGGGAGGGAGTAAAAGCAGGAAAAGAGAGAGAGACAGACAAACACAGTGACAGTCCCAGGATTGGTGACATGACCTGTTGTTCCCTTAAAAGACCACGGGATCAGTGTTTTTTCTGCTCCTCTGTTCTCTTACAATAAAATAAATGAGAACTGGGTTTATCAGGTTTCTGCAATCATTCTGGGAAAATTACTTGCTGCCACAGACTACTGCTTCACGTTTAATCTTGTTTCACTTAGTAGAGTTAAAAATAGAAGTTGGAGCAGCTCGTGTTTTGAAGGCACATGGAAAAAAAAAGTTGTAGCCCTACCCTGCGTGCAGTAATGGTACAGACATTAGCCAAGCTTATTGTAGCTGTCTGCAGGCAGCGATCCTGTCAGTGAAATCAGGCAAAGCGCAAACTTGCTTTATTATGAACCAAGCAGAGAAAACAGAATTAGCATAATGAATTAATTTTCACTTTTACTCAGTGTACCTTGATTATTTGCATCTTAAAAGTTAATTATTAACTCAGCTAACTTCTCTGTTGGTTTACATTTGGACATCAGCATAGAATCACAGAATCATTAAAGTTGGAAAAGACCTCTAAGATCATCGAGTCCAACCGTCAACCCAACACCACCATGCCCACTAAACCATGTCCCTAAGCGCCTCATCTACACGTCTTTTAAATACCTCCAGGGATGGTGACTCAACCACTTCCCTGGGCAGCCTGTTCCAATGTTTAACCACTCTTTTCAGTAAAGAAATTTTTCCTCATGTCCAATCTAAACCTCCCCTGGCGCAACTTGAGGCCATTTCCTCTCGTCCTGTCACTAGTTACTTGGGAAAAGAGACTGACACCCACCTCGCTACAACCTCCTTTCAGGTAGTTGTAGAGAGTGATGAGGTCTCCCCTGAGCCTCCTTTTCTCCAGGCTAAACAACCCCAGTTCCCTCAGCCGCTCCTCATAAGACTTGTTCTCCAGATGCTCCAGCAGTGAACAACATGAAATACATGAGTCACACCCCTCAACTGTACGATGTCTTGCCATGTACTCTGATTCGGAGCCAAACTCTGATTCCATGCTGTGCTTTCCTTCCTTTCACAGCACCATTGTATATTATCTGTATTATTCTGGGCAATAGCTAGAGTTACATTTTCCTACCTGGATGGAGAAGGATTCCTGCACTCCTAAACCAAGCTCACACCGCAGCCCATCACTGCCTTGGCCCATAACCCTGCAGACACATTTCACAGCAGCAAAGAGATCAGCAAGTAAAGGAGACAAGTATACAGACTACACTGTTTGAAGGGAAGCAAGCAATAGTGCTTTACCATCTGGTCATTCATCACCTATTTTGACAATTCATGTTACCCATTGACAGGTTTAACAGGCAAGAGGTAAGCTTCCAGTCTCAGGATACGAGCCAGCAGGTCTTCCTTTCAGCATGGATAAAATGGTTTTCCCTCCTGTCAGCTCAGTGAAATACAAAACACATTCCCTAAGCCAGTAGCAGCCACGGTGGTTATTAACAGCTGAGGCTTTATGAGGAGAAAGGAGCAGCAAGTCAAACTCTTCACTGTAGGAATCACAACTGCTCTGTGAAGGTCTCCACTCACACCCTGGTGCTGGAAAACAACACTTGATCGGGAACAAAGCCCAAGCTGAGGAGCTCAGAAGAAACCATCCCTCACTTTCCCATAAAGATTTAAGTACCATTTGCTGTATCAAAAATGCTCTTAGAACTAAATGTAATAAGTGTTTTTGGGAAAAAAAGGCTAAAGACTTAATGAAACAGCCAAAATACCAATCTGAAAGTATTCTCCAATAGAATCACATTAAATATTAATGACTGCTTTAGTTACCCCAGAGGGAGTTCTCTATTTCTATCAGGTTAGGCTCCTGACCAAGACATCTATCGGTAGAGCTGGCCAAGTAATCAGGTTTTCCAGCAAGTTTGTAGGAACAACTCCCCACCTCTGTGCCTCCACAGACAAGGTGCGCTGCTCTCGAGAGCTGCACATGCACGACAGTGGTTTGCAGAGCTTGCAGACACACGTTATGGAAATCGCACACGCCAGCCACTATAATAGGGTTCGACTCTAGGTTTCTGCTGAATCAATAAGCCGAAAAGAGATTCTTCTATGAAGTCCTTTTTATTAATAGTGCTACAGCTCAAGCTGGGTGCCTCTGAAGAGGGACCTCGAACAAAGAAATCCCTGGGCAATTATACCCTTACTATCTAAATTCCCACCCCTCATGCAACAGTTCGGACCAGTAGTAATATTAGGGTCTGGGGTCTTCCCATTCTTCATTGGGTCCTTCCATTGTCTCTAGGTGGGTCGTTTCTTAACTCTAAGGTTGCAGCTTCTGTTAATGAATGTAGCTTCCTTATCTTCTGGCTTGAATCAGCGCTGAGGCCTTCCTTTACTTGACTAGGTAAGAGTTCAACACACCTAGGTGAAAATTCACAGCTTGCGGCCTAAGGCTTCAGCAAATTTAGCTACTAATGCTAAGCAAGTTATGCTAAGCAAATTCTATATAAGTAGTATACCAAATCGCACAACACACACCACCAGTGAAAACTGTTTGGTACTGAACAAAATCTGGCTTTAGATTCCACTGTCGCAGCCCAAACAGCTAAAAACTTCAGCACTCAAATGCTCCAAGACAGCGCAGCCCATGCCATCAAAAAGAATTCAATTAATTTTTCCCATGGCTTT